GCAACCCCCCCTTTGTCAAAAAGCTGCTCTTCCTCAAAAAATGAGGTTTATGTGGCTTTTCAACAAAGGTGGGGGTTGGCTGAAAAAGCCACGTCTAAACTACTTTCTTTTTCGAAAGCTCTGCTTTCAAAAGTGAGATTGGAAGAAGATATGCAAATTCCCGCAGAATTTGCATATCCTCTTTGAGCACTCTAGTGTAGTCTAGATGAGCACAAATAGATTAAAAAGAGAGAAAATAATGGAGGAAACAATGTAATACAACAAACAAATCAAAAGACAAAGATGCAAAGTAATGTAAGGGAAAGGACAGGAAAGAACTAGAGAAAGACATGGAGAAATCACAGCATTAAAAGCAAAAACATGAGAATGAGAAACATAACAAGGGTCACAGTATATATTTATTGAACTTTATTCCCAGGAAAGAGGCCATTTTAAAATTATTTCTCTTGACGGTATATGGTGGCCAGCATACTCAATGTGGTTTGCAACTTCAAACCAGAATTTTGGGGAGTTGGGACAACAGAACAGAGGTGTAGGGTACATAAAATAGATGAGTATGGCCCCTGCACAAAGATGACGTGCAAATTCATGAAATGTTCCAATTTTTAAAAAAAGAAACAGAAGAAAAATCCAACAAGAAGTCTGCAGAGTAGGTCATAGGAGAAATTGGGTGAAGCAAAGAGTTTAACACTAGCCAGCACTTTGCTGTTTGTGCACTGAAGTAGTGATGGCTTTCTGACTTTCCCTGGTGTCTCCACTAGAGGAAGAGGTATCCCCTAGGGCCGTGGTCCCCAACCCGGTGCCCGCGGGCGCCATGGCGCCCGCCGGGCTCTTTACATGCGCCCGCGGAGCAATCTGGGCTGGCAGGTGCCAGCCCCAGGCGCATGGCCGGTCCCGGCCCCGGGTGCGCCGCGCATGCCCTGGCCCCTGGCTTTCTGACTTTCCCTGGTGTCTCCACTAGAGGAAGAGGTATCCCCTAGGGCCGTGGTCCCCAACCCGGTGCCCGCGGGCGCCATGGCGCCCGCCGGGCTCTTTACATGCGCCCGCGGAGCAATCTGGGCTGGCAGGTGCCAGCCCCAGGCGCATGGCCGGTCCCGGCCCCGGGTGCGCCGCGCATGCCCTGGCCCCGGCGCTGACCGGCCTTGGCCCCGCCCCTGGGAGCACCGCGCATGCCCTTGCCAGCT